CCAAAGTATGTTAGACGGAGCCTCAGAATCCTTGCCTCCAAGGAGCCACCTGGTTTAACCCTTTCCAGGACAAATCTGTTTGTTTTCCTAGCAGTCCATGATAAGATAACTAACATAACGTGGGTCTGAAATGAAAGAAAGAACCATTTCATTGAAGGTTCTTTTGATAATTGTTTTTCAAGCTGTACATTTATTTTCCGTTATTGAAAAAAACTTTTCTAAAAAAGAATAATTTGCTATCATACCAAAAACACACATCTTAATTATCCTTTTCTTTATTTAGCAACAGACACAATTTCTGGAAACGTGGAGTGCGCCAAAAAAACCAAAAAAAAAAAAAGATAGGGAGACAGAGTAGGTGTGTGTAGGGTTAGAGCAGGAAGTGAGAGTGGTAGACCGTTCCTCACGCTATGGGAAGCTCCAAGTTAATACACAAAAGCTACAATGGAGCACATTTAATCACCACATTAATATTGTTTGAAACACACCCACAGAGATTTTAGTTAAATAAACTTCTGAAAAATACCAACATAATCATGTTAATTCATACAGTCCCCAACAACAAAACAAGTTATGCTTTAGATCAGGAATCTGAAAGCTTTTCTTTTTCTTTTCCTTTTCACTCTTCAGGTTAAATAGTCTCTGTTGCAGTGACTCAACTCCACCATTCAGCATTGTAAACACTGATCCTTTACAGTAACTCTAACATCTAAGCATTGGATGATAAACATGGATCAAGACTTATAAAGTGAGAAAAATTTCAAATGCTTAACCCAAAATTAATCTGTTTAAACAATTTCTGATAAACAATTGTGGAAGAATTCTCAACAAAACTAAATACTCACTCCACAATATTGCTCTTCATTGAAGATCTGTGGTGGCAAAGGAATCCCGTTTTGAGGTTTTTTCTCTCCAGGCACATTCTCTCTCATCCACTTCCTATTATCTTCATCTCCAGCAATGTCTAATTCCTTAAAGTCGATTTTATTAGCTTCCAAAAAACCTACTACTTCTTGTTGTTTCTTCCTAATCTGTTCAAGAGTGGAGAAATACAATTACTATACTGATTTAAAGAATGCCTTGTTTACATTTATATAAATGAAATCTTTACTATAGATATACCTATACCGTATCTATCATTTTCTTTAAAACAAGGAAAGCAATACATTCAAATGTCTTCATTATAAAATAACAACAGAATTATTATTTTATTGGAATTTTAATATTACCTATGTGCTGCACAATGACTAAGGATGACAGAAGAATTGATGCCTTTGAGTTGTGGTGCTGAAGAGTCTTGAACGTACCATGGACTACCAAGAAAATAAGTAGGTCTGTAGTGGAAAAGGTGAAACCACGTTTCACCTTAAAGGCTAAAGGCTAGGATTTTTTTAATTTTATTTTATCTTATTTTTATTTATTTACAAAGTTTGAATACATTGTTTTTCACAAATGATCCTTTCCCATTTCTTTCACTCCACCCACCCACCAAATGATGCAACCCTATGATTAACACTCTACTCCCCCATCCTCACCTCTCAATTTCCACCCTCCCTCCTGCCTTGGATCCTCATACTCATTCTATAATAATGGTTTTATACAGTATTTGTCCTTGTGGGACTGAATTAGTTCACTCAGCATAAAGCTCTCCAGTCCCTCCCAAGTTAGGTGGTAAATTACAAAATGATTGCTCCTATGTGCTGTGTAGTATTTCATTGCATAAATGTATTAAAACTTCTCAATCCATTCATTTGTGGTTGGACAGCTGAGCTGTTTCCATGTTCTTGAGATGGTGAATAATACCACTATGAACATTGGTGTACAAGTTTCCATTTAAGCCTCAGTTCTCATTTTCTTTGGGTATATTACAAGCAATAGAATAGCTGGGTCATATGGAATTTCTGTGTTCAGCTTTTTAAGGAACTGTTCAACTGCCTTCCAGAGTGGTTGTACCATTGTATAATCCCACCAACAATGTAAAAGAGTTCATATCTCACCAATATATGTTGGAGAGGATATGAAGAGATAAGAACTCTCATACTCTTTTGATGCAATTGTAAAATGATACAACCACTTTGGAAAGCAGTTTGGCATTTCCTCATAAAGCTGAACATAGAAATTCCATATGACCTAGAAATATTCACCAAGGACATCAGAACTGAAACACAAATGGAGATGAATACATCAATGTTCATAGCAACATTATTCACAATTACAAGAACATGTCCAACCACAATTGAATGAACTGAGAAATTGTGTCACAGGAGCAATAATATCGAAAATTACTACATAAATTAGGAGGGAGTGGAGAAAGAGAATAAAACATGTATAAGGATCCAAGGAGGGGAGAGTAGGAACAGAAGGAAAAGGATGGGCATGGGGAAAATCATAGGGTCGCATAATTTGGTGGGTGGAGGGAGGAAGGTAAAGGACATGGGAAAGATCCAGTGGACATAGTTCAATGGTGACTGACTTTATGAAGTATAATGAATGGGATCAAAACAACTATATCATCTCACCCCAATAAGAATTGCAAAAAATTTAACAGAACAGCAAGCAACAAATGCTAGTGAGATTGTGAAATTGGAACCCTTTTTCACTGTTCGTAGAAGTGTAAAATGGTGCAACCACTGTGGAAGGTGGTGTGGTGTTTTCTCAAAAAGTTGCAAATAAAGATACCATTTGACCCAGCAATTCCACTACTGGGAATATATCCCAAAGAGACCGTAACTGACATCCAAGCAGATATATGCACACCCATGTTTATTGCAGCTTTGTTCACAATAGCAAGGAGTTGGAAACAACCTAAGTGCCCATCAACAAATGAATGGGTAGAGGAGCTGTGGTATATTCGCACAATGGAATATTACACTGCATTGAAAAACAAGGAACTCGTACAATATTATGCAAAATGGGTGACCCTGGAGGACATGATGCTGAGTGAAGTATCTGTCACAAAATTACAAATACTGCATGGTGCCACTGTGTAAAACCGAACTGACATCAGGGTTGGGGGGAGACTGAGAAAGATGGGTTTAATAATGTATACTTCATTGAAACAGATGAGGGAGAAACTGTTTAAAAGGGATATGTGATTAGGTATTTTTGTCATAACTGGAGTCCAGAGCAAAGGCTGCACAGTAGAGTGGACTTGGGGGGAGGGACTGTAAAACAATGAAAGAATTTTTCTTTTACTTTTCCAAGAGGGTAGTGTACTGGGGTGGGGGAGGGCTGGGAGGGGAGAAAAGTGCAACAATGAATGAATGGAAATCCAAAGTCTCTGTAAATTTTCATTGAAATTAATAATGAATTTAAAAATATAATGAATTGGAATGATTGTATATGAAATACAATGTGAATTAAGGATAGTGTGAAACACTGTGTACATAAACTTGGTAAGAAAATCATTATAAAATAATTTTTTTAATGTTTTAGTAGTGTACAAGGGTTCCTTTATCATTTTCATGTAATTTCTTTTTCAGCAGGACTAGATTTGTGAGAACTTCAAATAAGTGCTACAAAAAGCACCTACTTTTCCTATGCCAAATGTCTAGATTCAAGGTCACTTTGTTAGATCCAATTCCTTAAAGATCTGACCAGTTCCTGATCCCATATGTTTCAGAGTAGAAGGATGTTCCATAGGGTTTTCAGTGGCTGTACCCTTTTCAGAAGAATGCCACTAGATCTTACTTCCAAGAATTTGAACCACCAACCTTCCAGTTAAACTTAACTATTTACACTATTCAAGGAGTCTTTTAAAAAAAAATCAATAATAATGGGTGACTGAAATGCAAAAGTTAGGAACCAGAAAGAAGGTTCAGTAGTTGGAAAACATGGACTTGAAATGAGGCTAGATATAGAATGATAGAATTCTGCACAATGAATGGCTTACTCATAGCAAATACCTTTTATTTGAAACATAAACGCAGACTATTCAAATGGACTTCACCTGATTGTATGCACAGAAATCAGATTGATTACATATGTGGAAAGAATCGTTGGAGAGTTCAATATCAGGAGTGAAAACTGGGCCTGGTGTTGATTGCAGAACATACCATAAACTACTTATATGCAAGTTCAAATTAAAGCTAAGGAAGGTCAAATCAAATCCACAGGAATCAAAATTCAACCTTGAGTCTATCTCACCTGAATTTAAATACCAAATTAGGAACAGATTTGAGGCCTTAAACACTAATGAACAAAGACGAGATGAACTGTGAGAGGATATCAAGAATATCATCCATGAAGAATGTAAAAGGTCATTACAAACAGAGAAGACAAGACCAAAATGGATGTCAGAATTGACTCTGAATAATGCACTCTTCTATTGAATAGAGCCTTGAGAAGCCAAAGCAAAGGGAAGAAAGCAAGAAGTTAAGGAGCTGAATAGAAGATTTCAAAGAGCAGCATGGGAAGATAAAGCAAAATATTACAATAAAATATGCAAAGAACTGGATTCAGAAAATCAAAAGGGCCATACTCACATGGCATTTCTTAAGCTGAAAGAACTAAAGAATAAATTCAAACCTTAAGTCACCATATTTACGGCTGCTACGGATAGAATATTGAGTGATCCAGAAAGTATTAAAAGATGATGGGGAAAATATACAGTCACTGTACCAAAAATAAATGGATGACACAGAAGAATTTCAAGAAACAGCATATGATCAAGAGGCAATGGCAGTGAAGGAGTAAGTTCAGGCGGCTCTGAAGGACATGGCAAAAAATAAAGCCCCAGGAATTGATGGAATACTAATTGACGTATTTCAACAAACAGATGATGCCCTGGAGGTGTTCACCAGGTTGTGCCAAGAAAACTGGAGGACAACTGCTTGGTCAACTGACTGGAAGAGATCCATATTTATTCCCATTCCAAACCTGTCAAAGTATGTTATTGTTATGTGCCATTGAATTGGCAGCTCTGAACCCTTCCCTGTCCTGGGACAGTCTCACTAATTCTGACACACCAACTACCATTGCCCCAGATATTGTATCAATTCATCTCATCCGGGTCTCTCTCTCCTGAGCTGTCCGTCCATTCTTCCGAGCATGATTTCCTTCTCCAAGGACTGATCTCTCCTGACCACATGCCCAAAGTAAGTGAGGCGGAGCTTCAAAATCCATATTTAAGACTACAGTCTCTTCAGGTCTTCTTCAGTTTCAGCAAGCAAGGTTGATCATCTATCTGTATATCGTAGGTTGTGAATGAGACTTCCTCCAATCTTGATGTCACACTTCACTTCATAAAGTCCTGTTTTTTTATGTATAAGCACGATCAAGTGTTCTGAGATTCCCATTTTAACACATAAAGGTTAGCCACAATTTATTGTGATCCACACAGTCAAATGCCTTTGCATAATCAATAAAACACAGGCATTCTTCTGATACTCTGTTTCTGCCAAGATCCATCAGACATTGGCAATAATGTCCCAAGTGCCAAAACCTCTTCTAAACACAGACTGTATTTCTGGTAGTTCTATGTCAATGTATTGTTCAAGTCTTTTCTGAATAATCTTCAGCAGGATTTTGCTTGTGTGTGTTATTAATGATATTGTTTGACAATTTCCACACTCTGCCAGGTCACCTTTTTTGGAATGGGAGTAAATATGGACCTCTATCAGTCAGTTGGCCAATTACTTGTCTTCCAGATTTCTTGGCAAAAGTTGGTGAGCATATGCATGGCAGCATCTGTTTGTTGAAATACATCAATTAGTATTCCATCAATTCCTGGGGCTTTATTTTTTTTGCCAAGTCCTTCGGAGCAGGCTGCACTTCCTCCTTCATCACCATTGTCTCTTGATCATATGTTGTTTCTTGAAACTCTTCTTTGTCAGCCAATTCTCTTTGGCACAATGACTCTGTATACTCCTTCCATCTGCTTTTAATGTTTTTTGAATCATTCAATAATCTGCCCATAGCATCCTTAAGC